GCATTTTTAACAAGCTCCTAGGTGATGCTGATGCTGCTGAACCACAGACCACGCTTTGAGTAACAAGGACCTAAGCAGGGTTTTGCCTCTCGTATGACTGGAGAGCTCACCACTGCATCCGTGTTCCATGGGGACGGGAGGGAGGACAAGGAAAGGCAGCAATTTCCTTTTTTTAAACCTATCTTTTTATTTTAAAATTTTCAAACGTGATTATTTGAAAGAATAATGCAGTAAACAACTATGTACCTTTTACCTGGCTTCACCAATTGTCAACATTTAAGCAATTTCCTTTTGAGGACATGACCCAGGAGTTGCCTGCAGTGCTTTCCCTCTTGTCCCTTGTAAAACCTTTGGCACATAGCCTCACCTTTGCCCCAAGGGCCAAGGGCAACCCAGAAATATAAATCCATCTTGACAGCTATTTACCCGCTATAGGGGGTAAGGTTCTGTTACTGGAAGAAGATATAATAAAGCAGTTATTTTTTTAAAAAGAAGAGGAGGAGGAGGAATGGGACAATGGACACTAGGGGACAATTAGCCACTTCTCAAACACTGATCACCAAATTCTGTAACCAGTTGTTCTCTTCAAAGTGGATTCTGGAAGGATTGGATCTAAATTTTAGCCCATCTCTAGAAAGTATGTAGGGCTTCATAGTCTACATTTTACACACCCACCTCAATTTTTTTTTAAAAAAAAACCATCTTTATTGATTTGAGGGAGAGGAAGGGAGAGGGAGAGAGGGAGAGATAGTAACATCAATGATGAGTCATCATTGATCGGCTGCCTCCAGCACGCCCTGGACCAGGGATCGAGCCCGCAACCTGGGCATGTGCCCTGACTGGGAATCAAACTGCCATCTCCTTGATCCTAGGTTGATGCTCAACCGCTGAGCCACGCCTGGCTAGGCACCTACCTCACTCTTAAGTGTCCCACTCTCCTTTATCTTGTTGTATCATGTGGATCTTTCTAATTCCTCTTAATTTTTTTACAACAAGTTTTATTATAAATAATTTAATAATTAAACGGGGTTTACCATAGCATGTTTGTTTACAGTAGCATGTTTGTGGTACTTAAACCTATAACTCTACAGAGTTGTAAATAGTATAATATTAATTATTTTGTCCAAGTGAGTTTTCAGCCTTAAAAAAAAAAAACTTACAGAAACAGCTATGAAAAGGAAATATAAATACAGGTTACTTTACATAAATCAGGATTCTACCAGCCGCTACACATATGTAGACAGGAGGTGATCTATTCCGTGTTTTATATCACCTTGATATACTACTCTTGATTTAGTTATACCAATTACCTTTAAAACTTATAATCTTTTTAGGTGCCATTTCCTTGTTATAACATGGGCAAGGAGTTAAAAGAGTGTGCTCTTCTAACATATTATTTAGACTTTTAATCTGTGATAACGTTTATTCTCCTAATAGGAATTAAATCTTAAGGGTTGGTCATCGTAGCCCTTGGTTGTAAGCAGGTCCTTTTTATTCCATTCTTTAGTTATGTGAACCACTAAATTATTGAAAGGCAAAGAATAAATTCCTTCTTTAAAGTTAACATCAGATTTTGCTCAACACGGTTCCCCGGACCTTGTGATATAGACCCTCCTGCACTTTGAGGGCAAGTGACACCTGCCCATTTACACAGCGACGGCCCGAAACTGCCTTTCTGCAGAGACGTCCGTCCGGCTGTCGTCCAGATGTCCTGCGGTAGGCGGGGCGGGGCTGCCCGCCAGCTGGGGCGGGTCACTCAATCACGTTTCCCTAGTTCAAAACCCCGCATGGACTGGGGATGGACAAGTCCAAGCCCCAAACCCAAACAAGGAAATGATGGTCGAGGACTGGAGAGTTGTGAGCAGCCTCCCGGCCTGCGCGTGAGGCGTTCAGGCTCCAGCCCTCCGAGCCTGGGCCGCCCCCTGGGCTCTCCGAGCCTCCCCCGCCCACTGCAGACGCCCCCCACCGGCGTCCCAGCTTCTCCGCCAGCCACCTGGTTTCAGGCGAGGCCAGCCCACTCCTAAGATGGCGGCATCGGCCTCGGGTAGACCGCGTCCTACGTGAACGCCGGTGGCCAATGGGCTTCCGGCCTGCGCCGCCGGCCCAGCTCGGGAGGCGGAAGTGCCGCGGGCCGCTGCCTCGGTCCCGGCTGCTGCCCCAGCCGGTTACATAACTCGTTGCGGGCTCCGCGCGGACCGACTTCCGGCTCCCTGTGACCCCAGGATGCGCTGAGCCCCACGGCGCCGTCTGCTGCCGCCGGCTCCCCGCCCAAGGTGAGGTCCCCCAGGCTCGGGCTTGTGGTAGAGGCGCTGGGCCGGGCTCGGGGCGGGGGTCTTGAGTGAGGAGGAGGAGCAGCTCGGGTTGCGGCGGGCGGGGGCGCAGGGGCCCCTGGCGGAGGGAGGCCGAGGTGCGGCTCACTGCGGTCCGTGCCCACATCTCCGCGGGGTTTCGGGGCCCCCACGGAGGTGGGGCCGGGCAGGGTTGAGGAGGCGGTCGCGGGGTGAGGAGGGGCAGCGCCCCAGACCGCAGGTGTGCGGAGGGGCGCGGTTCCCAGCGCTAGATGGGAGCCGGCCCTTCAGCCTAGGGCGCCGGGTTGCCGTGCCCCAGGACGGGTTATTGGGGGAACTTGGAACCAGTGTAGCCTGCTCCTGAGTCTCGCTCGAGACGAAGTGCCTGGCCTTTCACAGTTGAACGATTCGCCGCCTCCTCGCTTGGTTTTGGTACTTGTTGCACGATTTGTAGTTATTTTGCCGACGTGTTTGCCCTCCTGTGAATTCCTGAAAGCCTGGGGCTCTGTCTTGGTCGTCTCTGCGTCTTAGTCCCTTAGCTGTACCTTTTTCTACTAAGACGAAATCAGTGTCTGTTTCTCGTACTTTACATGCAGACCGTACTCTGACCTCCTGCGCCGAATCGGGCACTTCCTAAGGAATAGAGGGGATTTGTGGCTTCTGTGGTTTGTCCCCCTGGGAAAATTTTGAGGGAGGCTCTGGGCCTTCTCTGGACCGCTCACAACGAATATGTGTGTGCCTGCCCAGCAGGTGACGGGGCCCAGGACCTGAGATGAGGCAAGGAGTTAATTTGCAGTAAACGTGGACATTGGCTGCTTCATTGATCTATTTTCACTGTGCCAAGTCCTTGAGCCATACGATTTAATATTCATTTGTCCTGAAGGAAAGGATAACAGACCTTTACTGTAGTTCTCTATGGTACCTGGAATGGTTGTTCATGGGAGTGTCAGAACTGGAGAGAACATTGCGGGTTGCCGATATTTTACCAGAAAACTAAAGACAGAAAACTCCTAGTTAATGTTTAATTGACTGAGCCGGGGTAGTTGTTCCAGGTCATCTACAGAAATACCACAGTCCTCCTAGCACTTTTAGCACTTTGTGATGTAGAGATAAATGATAGGAGTTCTTTGGCCAATAATACCAGGGAAGAACAGGAGTCTTGAGCATCACTGAGTTGGAAGGGACTAAAAGCAAAAACAAATAAATTCATATTCTTTCTCTGGGCTTCTATGAAGAGAGTTAAAACCTGTAAGAAACAAAGTCAGAGCATGGTGTTAACAGGTCAGAATAAAAGATATGGACACTTTTTAAAAAGATCTGTGTGTTTTCTATCTTTAGCCTCTCCCAGTTGTAACTTGCAGTGATTTTGTCACTGTGTTTATTTTAGCCACACCTTTTCCAGATTTGGGATATGTCTTGTTGAAGTTGCTAAGCAACAGCATGCTCTGCCCTGGATGGAAGAAAATTCCTGGATGGTAGATTTGAGAGATAAAAGATATGCCTGAACTGAGAAGGGTGATGCTGTCCTGCGCCACCCCATCTTCGAGCCTCAGTGTACCTGTTAGCAACAGCTTGGTGTCTCGCAGCCAGAGGTGTGTTTAGACCAGGTGGACATGGCATGCTTACATTGCAGCAGTTTGCAGCAGCCAGAGGGCACACATTGTAGAGAAGACTCCTCAGAGCTCTCAGTTCAGTGTCTGCTGAAATAGCCCAGAGGTCTCACTTTGTTTCTACCTGAGTAGAAAGCTGACTGCCTATCAGGCATTGTCTTCCCTTAAATGGTTGCTCCTCTATCTCTACGTCTTATCTCCAAGAACCCACCTTGAAAGTAACAGAAGAAAGCAATTTTATTTTATAGTCTGTGGATAATTGTCCCTTAGGTACTGGAAATAATTCTTACCTGGAATATGTTAATGCAACAATATTTCCGTCATTTCCCTAGTTCATGGGAGTGATGCTGGATACCTCTTTCAGACTTGTTTCTTTTAGGACATGACTCTTGACTCTAGTTGTAAACTATCCAGAAAGTCTTGCTGCTCTTTATACTTAGTTTCAAATTGCTTCACTTCTTCTCTGGCCTCCCATTTTTAACCTTTTCATTGAGATATACATACAAGCCCTGGCCGGTTAGCTCAGTTGGTTGGAGCATCATCTGGATATGCCAAGGTTGCCAAGGGTGCGAGGGCACATAAAATAATCAACCAATGAATGCATAAATAAGGGAACAGCAATGTTTATCTCTTCCTCCCCCCTCCCCCTTCTCACTCCCCTTCCTCCTTGCTCTCCCTCTCTAAAATCAATTTTAAAAAAAAGATATATACAGAAAAGTACACTGCTTGATGAACTTACTTGTACAACCACCACCCCAAAAGACACCTCAAGCCCCTTACCAGATAAGCCCTCTTTATTTAAAATACTGATTTCCTTGTAGGAAACAAGAAACATGTGTTCATAGTAAAACAAAAAGATTTAAAAAAGCATTCTCTTCCCTCAAAAAAGGGGAATGTTCTTTTTTAATCTTTTTTAAAGTGGTTGTCTTAAAACTTACAAATATATTTTTTAAATTGGAATTTATGTAGCCACTAAAAAACTACTGCCTTTAAAAAAAAAAGTTTTTACTGATTTTAGAGGAAGGGAGGAGAGATAGAAACATCTGTGAGAGAAACATCAACATTAGCTGCCTCCTGCCCTCCTCCCTACTGTGGATTGAGCCTGCAACCAGGGCATGTACCCTGACTGGGAATTGAACTGGTGACCTACTGGTACATGGGCTGAGCTCAATCACTGAGGAACACCAGCTGGCTAAAATGGCTTTTAAATGATTACACAGGAACCACTTAAAATATTTTTACAAGTCTGTTTGGCGATCTTACCCACAGCCACTTTCTCTTTGCTTCATTGAAGCTTTGAATCTATTTATTTCTGGCATCAGTGCACAAAATGCCATGTTACAATGGTATGGGGTTTAAAAGTTGGCACTAAGAGAGTCTATTTGGGGGCAAAATGAATAATTGTTCCCCTTATAATTTGAAGAGACAGTGTAAAATTTCCAAGTTATTACCAATTAAAAACAGCCCATGAGATTATTTTAATATAGAAATGTCTTCATAATTTTTACACATCACCTGACAGTCTTTAATAAAAACAACTCAAGCTCATGGTAAGAAAAACAGAAGTGGCATAGAACACAGACATCAGCCATAACTCCAGAGGCAAATGCTGACAAGTTGAATTACTTTTCAAAAACCATTTTTGGTGTAAAAGTTTACCTCACGATCATGTGTTAATTTATACCAAATTTGACCCATTTTTTATATTTAACTTCTGTTTAACTTGGAAGGATCCTAAATGCAAACCCAGGGAAGCAGAGATTAAAAATCATAACAAAACCCAGCAGAATGAGATGGAAAAGTGAAGAAAGGCGGAGAGGGCTGGTTTGCTGGAGGGGCAGCAGCCAGGGGACAGACAGGGTTTCTGAAACCCGATTCCCCTGTTGCTGTAGTTTTTCCTTTCAAACTGAAGTAGCTGCTTGTCCATTTCACCCACTGCTCCCCCAAGCAGTGTTAGAGTAGTTTGTAGCTATTGAAATTCTCTGGAAGAACCAATTTGCTCTTGGTTTTGAGCCCCAGGCAGGGTCCAGTCTTGGGTATTTTACTACCCTTTGATTCCCACTCCCCAAAAATGTAGTCGTTACAGGTGGTTTTGATGTTATTATTTGAATTGTTTTGTGTTTAAACCAGACCAGTTGGCTCACTTCATCAGAACTGGGAGTTATATTCTGGACATGCCGTCAGATGGCTTCCTATCAAGATCCCAACTTAAAAAGCCACCAAGCAAAGGTACTTCTTGACCAGGCCATCCTTATGGCCCATCCGGCGTATGCCCCACTTGTCTCCTGCTTTGAGCTCTGGCTGCATCTTTCCATGTGACCATGTAAGCTGGCAGCTCAGGCTCATCTGCGCCCTCATTTTCTATTCCAGGAAGATGACTCTTTCGGGCTTTCAGGCAGGGGGACCATGGGGTCTCTCTGGTCTTGGCTTCATGTTTCTGGCCCTCAGTTGCACCCTCCTCGATCCTGTTTTTCCTCTGTTCTTCCTCGTTTTCCCTGTCTCTCTCTGAACCTCAGCTGTCCTCCTTCAGTCCTGATACTAACATCTAATGGGGCCACAAAAGGCAAATATTCCTTGGGTGCCGCACCACAATACAGTCCTCCTTCCTGTAGAAACTTGTCAGCTGCTTTGGTGTACATCCTTAGAACAACGAGAGGATTCTCTCAGATTGCCATGACCAAGACTAGCCCAAATGCCTTCTGAAGGAGTATTGGGGGTTTGCAAGTGGCACACGTGCTCAGTGGCCCGAGAACCTGCCATTCGCACTGGGCAATTTTACTGTGGACATGAAGTAAAAGAGCAAAATGGTGAAATAAAAAATTTTAAGCAAAATAAGATCTATCTCATCTTGGACACAATAAAAAGCTGAAGAGCACAGCTCCAAAATGTATAATGCCCTGAACTGCATGGAGGCTCCTGTCATGCTGAAATGATGCTCAGGTCTGGCAACCTCCTGTCCTGGGAAGTTGAATAAGTCACATTGGTTGGAGCCACGTCTCTGGGAGACTTTGATGGAAGTCTCTGGTTAAGTGAAATTGAAGGCTACCTTCCAAGTTGACATTTTGAATGAAGAGGAGCCACGAAGCATAAAAAGTTGCTAGTGTCATTTGTAGAAAGTGGAATGGTGGTTGCTGGAGGCTGGAGCAGGGAGTTAGAGTTCAGTTTGGGAAGATGAAAAAGTTCTGGAGATGATGGTCACTGGTGACCGTCATTGGGGGTGGTTGCACAATAATGTGCATGCTGCTGACCTGTACACTTAAAAATGGTTAAAATGATAAAATTTATATGTATTTTACCACATTTTTAAAAAAAGATAATGTTGCAACATTGACATTTTTCTTCTTTTTAATAGCACTGCTTGGGTCTTAGGTACAATTTGGGGAAAATGCAAGGGGATCAATCCCCTGCCTGCCTTTTTCCTTGTGGCTCCGTGGGGAGAACATCCCTTCCACACAGTTGTATTAACCTCTCTCTGCACAGCCTAGTTTACAGCATTTTTTGTGTTTACTAATGTGCTGTTTACCATGGAATTCCTTGAGCAAAAGAAGTGGTTTCTGTAAGTATTTTGGTAATGGTGCAGGAAAGCACACCTTGGTCCCCCATATACTCCCCTCCCCCATTTAATCAGAGGTTTCAGACTATGTTTATTGCTGCAACCACAGTACCTAGAGCAGGACCCCTTAACCACTTTCTGATTTCTGTCACCATCAGTTCACTTAGCCAGTTTCAGAATTTCATGCAAATGGAATTCTCCCGTATCATCAATTCATGCTTGAAGAGATGTGTCTTAAATTGTATGTCACGAATATACGGGCTCCCCTCTGAGCACGATGGCTTGGGTTTTAAGAGGGCGGCTGTTTGGGACTAGAGTGCTGGGTGTTTGTTCCTGTCACCCTGTAAATTAATCACGTTCCTCCTACACTGAAGTTTTGGAAGGAGCCCAGGCTTCCTTGGAGACGGCTCGGCGCCCCCACCGACAGCTGCTCCTTTGAGCAGACCAGCTATGAAGAGTGCTCACTGTTTCCCCTCAGTCTCTCTTTTTAGCCCTTGACCCATTTTACTGATGAGCAAGGCAGTGTCCTGTGCCCATCACTGGTTTATTTTTCTTTTTCTCCTTTCCTTTTCTCCTTTTCTTTTCTCCTTTCCTTTTCTTGTGTTTATCCTAAACACAAGAGCTTGGAGTTTATTGTTGGATTTTCCAAGCCAATAAACCTGGCCTTTGCAGAATTTCACATTCCCGAGGGCCTGGTGGTTTTTAATACTTGTGCCATGAAAGTGTGCTAATCTTCCTTTGTGCTTACTTGCGAAGAAGCCTGGAGTGCCGGGGAAGGACTAGGGTGGTGTTTTGTCATAGGGTGAAGGGAGTCGGGGACTTGAGACAGGTCAACTGAGTGTGAGCTGTAGAGTCAGGGGAGGCAATTCCCAAAGGAGGGCTGCTGGATTTCAGAGGGGAAGCTGTTGGTTTGTCATCACTGGTGTGCTGGAGCAGAAGGGGCAGGAAAAATGCAAGAAGGTGGCAGCAATGTGGTGTAGGTGGTTACATTGAAGGGAAAGAAGGTGGCAGGAGACTTGTTCAAAAGAAGGTATACATGGTATGTTTACAGCCCTTTGGAGGGGAGTTTGTGCAAAAGAGAAGGTTGAAAATGTGGGAGAAAGGAGGTGCTTGAGCCAGAGGGGGAGGAGACATGGAGCTGGGCCAGGGAGTAGAGTGGCCACTCCTGTTGGAAGTGGCCATCTCATTTGTCTTCCCAGAGACAGATAAGAGCTGAAGCATGTAGCAGGACAATGATGTCTCAGTGGATGTCAGAGCTTGGATTTGACCACGGGTCATTGTGACTTCAGCATCCCTGCAGGGTCTGGGGGCACATGGAGGGCACAGCATCCAGAGCATAAGTGGAGGTTGGTCTAGTCTTGGCAAGGAGGAAGAACGCTTTGGAACCAATGGAAGTGAAAGAAGGGAAGGAAGGGAAGGTTCTAGGGGTGATGGAAAGTGCAGTGTGGTCATGGCTGGCCTGAATACTTTAAGTCTGCTGAGGTCAAGGATAGGGTCCAGAACACTTCTTAAGCCATTAAGAGGAAAGGGTGGTTTTAAAAAGTTAAGCATTGCCTGTCTAGGACCCAGAAGCATTGCTTTTGCACAAGGGAGAGGCCCTGTGGACCTGGGTGTCAGGACACAGTCAACAAAGAGGAAGGGTCTTCAGCAAATAGGGTTGTTTCTGGCTTTATTACTTGGGGTGGAAGTAGAGGGCCCTGTGGGTGTCATGAAAATGCCATGAAACCCCTCCAGAACCTGGAACAACTCTATTCTGAGCCCCCCAAATTCTGAATCCTCAGCACTTGGCAGGGAATGGAAAATGCTCCTGTCGACATTGGAGACATCTTGGCAGCCATTCCTTTACTTTCCCTCCGGCCAAACACAGAGGGACACTCTGGAAGTACTGTGGGTGAGGGAATGCCCAAATATCCAGACACCACCCCTTAGGAAAAGGTGACCTTGGGTTCAGGGACTAGAAAGGTCATGTCAGCACAGAAGGAAGATAAGGCTTGTAGACAGCCTCAGGAGGATGAGGTTTGGGGAAGGAAAAAGGATGACTGAAGGGTGAGCCAGCAGGCCCTTCATTTGGGTCTTGGAGAATCTAGTTTCTGCCCCTCCTTGAATTGCTCCACTCATCCATCCCCTAAAGGCCAAGGACATGATGCAGACTCAGGAAACCTGGGAAGATTCTCACTATAAGCCTGACCTTCGCAACTTCATGTTTTCAATTTAAAACTCAAGTGGCCCTGGCTGGGTAGCTCAGTTGGTTAAGAGCGTTGTCTAGATTCGCTAAGGTTCTATCCCTGGTCAGGGAACATACAAGAGTAAACCAATAAGCCCTGGCTGGTGGGTCAGTTGGTGGGAGCATCATCCCGTATGCCAAAAGGTTGTGGTTTCAAGTCCCAGTTCAGGGCACATACCTAGGGGTTGGGGTGTGTAGGAAGGCAACTGATAGATGTTTCTCTTTCATATTGATATTCCCCTTCCTCTCTCTCTAAATACCAATTAAGAAAACGTTATCGGGTGAGGATTAAAATAATTTTTAGAAAAAGAAGAATAGCCCTGCCAGACGTGGCTCAGCAGTTGCGCATGATGACCCAGGAGATCTCTGTTCAATTCCTGGTCAGGGCACATGCTGGGGTTGTGGGCCCGTTCCCCAGTGGGGGCGTGCAGGAGGCAGCTGATCAGTGACTCTTTCATCATTATGTTTCTGTCTCTCTCTCTCCCTCTTCCTTCCTCTCTCTGAAATCAATAAAGATATATTAAAAAAAGAAAAAAAAAAAGAAAAGAAGAATAAACCAATGAATGCATAAATAAGTGGAACAACAAATGGATGTTTCTCCCTTTTTCCCTTCCTCTCTCTCTAAAATCATTTAAAAAAGAAAACTCAAGTGAACTTAGAGTTCTCCTGTACAGTATATCCTTCCTGTTGTAATACAGACATGTCAACGTCTTTGTAGGAAAATGTGTACCAAGAGATGGCCTATGCACCTGTGGCTTCAGTGCCTGTCGCATCTGCCTCCCAGGGCTCAGAATGGAACAGAGGGCCTAATATTGGGCCTCTGCTCTGGCTTCACCCACTGTCACCTGTTGTCTAGCAAATCTCAGAATCCTTGCCTGTAGAAATAAGAGATCTGTACTTGGTGGAAGGTTCTGGATGGACAAGTGGGGTACCTAGTGGTGCCACATAAGGGTTCCCTGACTTGCTCCTCCAGCGGTTAGCCGCTTGCCACAGCACCACCACCATCTCTAAACTTGCCTTCTCTGGCCCCATTTCTTCCTTTCACTGGCACCAGGGTGTTATTCTCCTCCCCTGCCTTCCTGCCCCCTTCTCCACCCCATCAGTTGGTCTGGGAGAGATGAGGCACTGTAATACCTTGCTTTCTCCCTTAGTTAAATGTAACATGTTTCTATTTTTAAATCACAGCATCTAAAAAACTGGCCTTTAAAAACATAGAAGTACTTTTAATAGGGATGTGAGAATCCACAAATAGCTGTGTATCTTGGAGCCCAGTGTTTTTCTTGAAATTGAACAGGGAACAAGAGCCTTGTCCCAAGGATACTAGGGGAAAATTTTATAAATCTCAGGGCATAAGTGATGCTCATTTATTGTAGATCTCTCCGTTTGCTATCAAACCTCAGTGTAGAGTGTTTCTTTAATCTTTTAGAATCAACTTGATTGAAGTTTAACATA